GACGGTATTGATGAGGCGTCGCGCCGGGTTTGCCAAGCCCGGGGACACCGGACACGGAGTGAACGAAGGCACACGTCGGTGTTGCCAGCACCAGACATGCGTAGATGGACAAAGACAAAAGTTGATGAAGTGTTGCTCCAAGCTTGCCAGGCCCAGGGACACGTCGTGGACGATGGCACGCATCGGTATTGACATCACCGAACATGCGGAGCGGGGGACCTGCAAAAGATGTACGCTATGTCGGAGGAGTCGGAGGGGTTAGCGGAGGAGGACTCAACAACGGTTGCGACGCCAGTTGGCGTGGGGCCGATGTCGCCGACGATGTTCAGAGTAGATGAAGTGGTCGGGGACGATGACGGCGACGTTGGCGATGAGCTGGTGCTGGACGAAGATGAAGGGGGTGGACGGGCGGCGCGACTTGGGTGAGCGAGTAGCAATGGAGTCAAAGAAGAGCGGCAGCCGGGCCCGGGCAGCTGGGTTAGGAGCACGGCGACGATGCTCGAAGTAGGCGAGGAAGAACCTAATAGCGTGACGAATACCAGCGCCGACAGTGGCGTTCTCGCGCGAAGGAAGGCTACGTGGCACGTACCACAGGGAAGTCGACGCACGACGACGGCGTAGTGGACCGCGTGCCGCGGCGCTATGCCTAAAGCGGCAACGCATCAGCAGCATACTAATCGGGGCGTCGACAAGAAGACCTCGCGTGGCAGCAGGGACCGCGTGATACGCTCGCTACGGCCCGGCGAGGCGACACCGCGGCAGCATGAGGGTCGGTTCAGCATGGGTACAGCCTAGAGCGGACGACCTCGAGGCGGTGGTGGACCGCGGGCCGCAAAACTATGACCCAAAGGGGCGACACAGCGGCAGCGCGCGGGTCGGCGCAACCACGGGGACGACCACGGCGGCGGCAGGGATAGCATGCCACGATGCTACGGCCCGAAGGGGCGATGCAGCGGCAGCGCGCAAGTTGGTGGAGTGGTGAAGAGAACGACAGGGAGATGGCGCTGCCGCCTGACGAGGCGACGCAACGACAACCCGATGCTCGATCGATGGAGGGGCGCGCTGTTATCGAGAGTTGTCTTCACTGGACCTTCAGAGGGGCACGCAGCTGACGGGCCAGATCAGTCGCATGACGAAAATGTGGTGGATCACAGGAGGGCGGGTGATCAATTGGGTCACGCGCGAGGTCGGGGACGCTGGTCGGTGGAGGCGGGGTGGTGGTGGAGTCCGAGCTGAAGCCGGCGATGACGGCCGGTGGGAACGGCGTTCAAAACGAGCGGCCAATGCGGCATGGACGCCCAATCGGCCAGGCCCGAGCTGCGAATGCAGCGCCATACAGAGATGACCGTCCAAACACGGTGGAGATGGTGGATGATGAAAAAACCCAGTCAGAGTAGGGCGGCAGACGCACGGACGATGGACGTGAGGGCGGCGTGTCACGCAAGGCCGCTGGGTTGAAGTGGAGGCAGGTGGGTCACGCCAATGTCGGAGTAAAGACGCGATGGGTCGACGGCGACGATGCGCATCACAAACAGATCGTAGATCGAAAAAAAAAGAGAAACACAGATCAAGACGACCAGTGGGAGAGAGAAACCCTGATCAAAAGATCGAAAAAAACTCTTGAGGGCAGCCGGTCAATAAGACCAGCGGACGAACCCTATGTACGGGCGGCGCGGCCCCCGGCAGCGATCATGGAGACCGACCGCCCCGGGGGTGGCGTAGAGCGGAAGCGGCGGTGACGACTAGGGTTTAACGGTTAGGTTGATACCATGTCAGAAGGAATAGAGATGGAGGATTGGTATAATGCGTTGGATGTATTATTGAGCCTCGAGGGCTAGTATATATTGAGTAAGACTTCGAGGGCAAGACGCCTTCTATAGATATAGATAGATGAAAATAATTCCTATATAATCCCGAACAATCTCTAAATACCAAATATATTTCTAACCGCCCTCTTAGTATTTTGTGCCAAACTTGGACCATAGATTTAACTAAAAAAATGCATGTCACCAAAACTTATATCGTCGGATTTGTATTTAAACATAGTTTCCAGTGATATTACTTTTGTTTACATGCATTAACATTTTGTTAGTTAAATCTAACGTCAAAATTTAACACAAAATGTGAGGGGACCAATAAAATAGGACGAAGGTAATACTGGCATGGAAAAGGCTGTAACCAGTATTTCCTGTGGTATTTTCTCCGTTCGAAAGTACTTAATGCTCTGATAGATGTATCTACTAGCACCAAAAAACGTCTAGATATTTCTGCTTAGGTGTCATCTAATTCCGGATGGAAGGAGTAGTATTTAATGAATCTGAACCGACAATGAGCGAGAAACTGAAAGGTTGACACAGTATCAATAATTCAGTTGCAAGCATTTGATTAAAAAAAAAGCAGCCCGATGCATGTAGCTCCCGCTTGCACAGTGTCCGAGGAAAGACCCAACCAGTTTGGGTCTATAGTACGTAGCATTTTTCTACATTTTTGTAAGTGCCTGTTTCCAGGACTTCAACACATGAGGCTGATCACAGTGGGGAGGAACTTAGGAGTAACATCACACACTCTAATACAACTTTGCTTATGTGACACGTATTTAGTGAAGAAAGAGGTGCTTGTGGTAACTAGCTAAGTTACCGGAACATCACACACTCCAAGAAACAATGAGTCTATAACCTAATAAATACATCGTTGCATGACACTACATAGATGTTCCTACTCACTATGATGGTAGTTACATAGTCTAGGGAAGTGTGAAGTTACTAGCTTATATTTTTGCCCATTGTGACCAGCCTGACCTCATAGTTATAAGACAACAGCTTTACCACTGCTCCAGGGCTCCCTTTCTTACAAGCACTTGATTCCTTGATAAAATCCATTTGACTGAAACCAATGGACACATGCAAATGGTTAAGTGAAAAATAATTTTCCAAGAACCATGAGCAAGCAGAATACTTTGGAACTGGTACTCCCTCCGTCTAGGTGAGTAAGTCATTTTAGGTTGTACACCGTGACCAAGGAGGAGGAGAAAACGAGAGAACTTAATGTTCATTTGCTAATTAATAGCATTGCATGCAATGAACTAACCACTGCATGTCGTGTTTGGTAGTCTCAAGTCATTAAAAGCATGCACACCCCACATCTTTTATTGGTTGATATGTCAAGAAACAAGAAACGAGGTAAAATTTAATGCACCGCGCCTAAGTGTTTTGGGTTTATTTGATTTTCGTAAGATAACTTACACACCTAGATGGAGGGAGTACAACAAGTCTGAATGCTCCAGACAACCAATTAAAAAAGCAGCACGTGAAAGGAGGGGAGAACAATACAACCCATGTGTAAAGACTAAACGGAGTTACTATAAAAAATCATTGTGTGCACTGTGCTCTTCAAAAAGTAAGGGAGAAGTACATCACAGAGTGCAAGATTATAAACTGAAGATCTGAATGAATTTCCATGAAAGTTGTGCTCTTCAGAAAGTTTGCAGGATTATAAACTGAAGTTTTGCGCAGCGCAAAAAAAAAAAACTGAAGTTTTGCAGGAATCTCCGTCATGCAACAAAGTTTGATCTTGGAGGACTTCAATCCGAAATCCAGAGCCTGTACTAACCAAGCAAAAATCTTGCAGTTAAGTGGCAGACCAACACTCCCAAATGAAGGGGCAGCAGCAGCAGGGAAACGAACAAACATTGCCTTCCAAATTTCAGACCTTCTCGACACTCTGCTTTTGCAAGGTGCTCAGGCACTTCGGTGCAAAAGCCATCCATCACCCCGCATGGGTGCCAAAGGGGATTTTCAATCGCTCAACATGGGATGTGGGGTTAAACTCTGCGAGGCCAGGAAATGAAACATGAACTGTTCGATCTGAATCTCCATCACCACGTACGGCCGGCCCTGATGCCCACAAACTCGATCCCTGAAGGAAAAGATGAGACACCAAACCATCATTTTTACACATAATGTACTCTGCTCTGTCTGTCTTACAGGACATCGCATAGGAATTTTTCATGATTGTGAATTCGTAACCAATGTATTGCAATTTATATACAGCATCTTTGAGCCACGATGGGTTCGTGCAGAGATGAACGAGAAATTACAGTGAAGAATATTACTCTTTGTCGGGAAAGAAAAGGTGAAGAATATTAGAAAGGTTAAAAAAGATACTTTGTACCAAGCAGTAGCTACTAGTTTATCAGGGAAATTCAGTGCACCAAACATTCAAAAGAACTGTACAGGCACTTGATTATCAGAGAAGCCCAATCGACTGAAACCGATCAACGCATAAGTTTGTTTCTGCAGACGGTATGAGAAAATAATTCCATCCAAGCACCATGAACAAGCAGAAAATTTCAGACATACTCCCTCCGTCCCAAAATATAAGAACGTTTTTAGCATTAGTATAGTGTCAGTATAGTGTCAAAAACGTTCTTACATTCTGGGACAGAGGGAGTAAGTAGTATCAGAAGTCTGAATGCTCCAGGGTCCAGGCAGTACATGAGGGGGCAACCAAATGAAGTTTTAAAATTTATCATGCGCATCGCGCTCTTCAGAACGTAAGGGAGTGGTACATCACAGAGTACAAGATATTTTTTTTGCGATAGCACAGAGTACAAGATTACAAACTAAAGTTTTGCAAGAATTTCACGATTGATTTAGTGCAGCTGACAAACCCATTGTGCAACAACAAAGAAACTAGTTAACTCATCGTGATCGCAGAAATAAGTTCAGAGTATTCAGCAAAAGACATCCATGATTACAGTTCAGAAGAGTAGTAAAATCTTACATGTATCGGGATAATTTAACAACACAAAATTCTTGCATGTACCACAATAATTACGTCATAAATGTATCAGAAGAACTAAACTTCTTCATCTTTGTTTAGAGGTATATAAACAAGGCACATGAGATGCTGCTTAAGATCTTCCTCGCCCAGGTTAACAGTCCAGAGCTCTCATTATATGGGTTGCAGCACACACACTGGCTCCTTCAGAACAATAATGCTTATTCTGCAGTTGTGTTCTTTGCAAACCTTGCCCACTTCACAACCACAAGTACATAGACTTGATCGTACGCCTCGTCAAAGAACCGGAAGAAAGCAATTCTCCATGTCCTCTTGAACAACAGTGCACAAAACACTATCCAGAGCCCCGCCACAAGTCCCAGCACAAGACCAAAATGAAAGGTCAGTGGATCAAACTCTTGCTTGCTGCTTCCGAGATCACCATGGATAGAAGTACCATTTGCTGAACAATTGCTATGGAGAGGAGGCCCACAAAGTCCACTGTTGCCGATGTACATAATATATGGGTTGTCCGAATTGAGGGTGTCAAGTTGGCGGCCAGAGGGTATCCTTCCAGATAAATTGTTGTAGGATAGGTTCAAGGCTTCCAAAGATGTTAGACTTGACAAGCTTAATGGGATTCCACCGGAGAGCTTGTTCCCAGAGAGGTCAAGAGATACCAATGACTGCATGGCCCCAATCATGTTTGGAATTTGTCCACTCAATTTGTTTGATGATAAATTCAGATTCATCAGTGCAGCAAGGGAAGTGATGTCTGTAGGGATTTCACCTGTCAAGGAGTTACCTGATAAATCAATGCTCACAAAATATACAAGTGTTGTACCATATAGAAGTTGTTGTCCTTTTATAACTACTGACAATATTTCTCTGAGGTGACCAGCCCCTATATCGATCGGGCCGTCAACCTTTGTGGCTCCAATATACCCATCTTCCATATCCATGAATTCCTTTTGTACTTTTGTCATAATTGTTAGGTTCAATAGGTACCAAGGTATTACACCTGAGAAATTGTTGCATGATAGATCCAAGTATTGAAGGGACCTAGGTCTTGTTATGTCAGCTGGAATATTATCAGAAAACGCATTGTGACCCAGAAGCACAAAACGTAATCTCCCCAAATCTCCTATCCATGTAGGCAAGCTTCCAGACAACTTGTTCCATGCAAGATCCAAGAACTCCAAAGTTGTGTTATTCTGCAAAAATGTTGGTGAAAGTGCAACTACCCCTAGGTGGTTTTGGTAATTCCTAACAACAATAGCTCATTGAGCTAACATCATTCCAAGATGAACATTTCAGGAAAAGCTCAATGAATGGCATGGCATGGATAAGGAGAGTGGATCCCTCAAAATACTAAGGATAAAAGGATTGGCTCAAGCTCAAAAGCTCAAGACTCTACATTTTATATTTTAATGATCCAAGATCACATTGAGTCTATAAGAAAAGCCAATACTATCAAGGAGGGATGAGGTGTTGTTTAATGGGTTTCTTGCTCCACAGTGCTTAGTGATATGCTCCAAAAACCCTCGACTACTTTCTCATATCCACATATGACCCAAACCAAAAGTCAAACTCGGCCCACCGATTCTTTCTACCCGACGCCACCGAGTTCAGATGTCATAGCCACTGCCACAAACCCTAGGCAAATCGGTCTCACCGATAGGGATCTCAGTCTCACCGAGATAGGATTGTAATCTCTCTGTTTCCCTTCGTAACGTTTCGGTCTCACCGAGATGAGCGATCGGTCCCACCGAGATTGCAATGTAAACTCTCTGTTTCCTTTTTGTAACATTTCGGTCTCACTGAAATGAGCGAACCGGTCCCACCGAGTTTACCTGACCAACTCTCTGGTTAGCTTATTACCAAAATCGGTCTCACCGAGTTTGTGTAATCGGTCTCACCGAGATTACGTTATGCCCTAACCCTAACCATATCGGTCCTACCGAGTTGCATGTCGGTCCCACCGAAAATCCTAACGGTCACTAGGTTTACTAAATCGGTCTGACCGAGTTTGTTGATTCGGTCCCACCGAGATTGGTAAATTGTGTGTAACGGTTAGATTTTGTGTGGAGGCTATATATACCCCTGCTACCTCTTGAGCACTGCGTTGGATTTCCCCGAAGAGGAGAGGGTGATGCAGTAAAGTAGCGTAAGTATTTCCCTCGGTTTTTGAGAACCAAGGTATCAATCCAGTAGGAGATCACGCACAAGTCCCTTGTACCTGCACAAAACGATAGCTACTCGCAACCAACGCGATTAGGGGTTGTCAATCCCTTCACGGTCACTTACGAGGGTGAGATCTGATAGAGATGATAAATAATATTTTTGGTATTTTTGATATAGAGATGCAAAGTGAAAAGTAAAAGGCAAAGTAAAAACAAAGCAAGTATTAAAGTAATGGAGATTGATATGATGAGAATAGACCCGGGGGCCATAGGTCTCACTAGTGGCTTCTCTCAAGAGCATAAGTATTCTACGATGGGTGAACAAATTACTGTTGAGCAATTGATAGAATTGAGCATACTTATGAGTATATCTAGGTATGATCATGTATATAGTCATCACGTCCGAGACAAGTAAACCGAAACGATTCTGAATCTACTACTATTACTCCACTCATCGACCGCTATCCAGCATGCATCTAGAGTATTAAGTTAAAAATAGAGTAACGCCTTAAGCAAGATGACATGATGTAGAGGGATAACTTCATGCAATATGATAAAAACCCCATCTTGTTATACTCGATGGCAACAATACAATATGTGCCTTGCTGCCCCTTCTGTCACTGGGAAAGGACACTGCAACATTAAACCCAAAGCTAAGCACTTCTCCCATTGCAAGAACTACCAATCTAGTTGGCCAAACGAAATGGATAATTCGAAGAGACTTGCAAAGATAACTCAATCATACATAAAAGAATTCAGAGAAGATTCAAATATTATTCATAGATAAGCTGGATCATAAACCCACAATTCATCAGTCTCAACAAACACACCGCAAAAAGAAGATTACATCGAATAGATCTCCACAAGAGAGGGGGAGAACATTGTATTGAGATCAAAAAGAGAGAAGAAGCCTTCTAGCTACTAACTATGGACCCGTAGGTCTGAGGTAAACTACTCACACTTCATCGGAGAGGCTATGGTGTTGATGTAGAAGCCCTCCATGGTGGATGCCCCCTCCGGCGGAGCTCCGGAACAGGCCCCAAGATGGGATCTCGTGGATACAGAAAGTTACGGCGGTGGAATTAGGTTTTTGGCTCTCCCTTTGATCTGTCGGGGGTACGTAGGTATATATAGGAGGAAGGAGTACGTCGGTGGAGCAACATGGGGGCCACGAGGTAGGGG